ATCAACCTGCAAGTACATACTTTCTGCTTTAGAGCTAACTCCTTACACAAGTTTGGAGAGAGTATATTTGCTCTCATGCCTTCCTGATCCTTGAGTGGTATTCTTTTTGAGAAAAGAATTAACATGTCTTAATGAAACTCAGTATATTATTTTCATGCATGTGATGCAGCAAACCTAAATTGCATGCACCCATTTTCTCCTTATCCTAGCACTATTCTGAATTCTTAGTAATATCTACCCTACTCAGATTAAAGTTTAATTTCACAGAAATGAGGATGTAGAACAATACTCAGCCTCCACAAACCAACTTATTTCACCTAACACAGAACCCTTCTATTTCACTCATTTTGCTGCAAATAATGGGGCTTCTTTTCTCTTTATGTCTGTGTACTACTCCTTTCTTGTCTTAAAAAGACTGAAACACAAAATACCAAACAGAGCTTATCTCCTGTCAGTGGGCCCTCAATGGTGTCTTTGATTCTAGTTTTTGACATTGGGTTCCATAATTTTTTCTATAATGTACTGTAGCTAATTTCTTTGTAGGTTATGGTTTGATATTTTTAAGGCACATATGACTGAAAACACAGGGCTCACAGGAGCTAGAGCAGTTTTGATACTGCTTCTTAGTCTGATCTGTGGTGGTCAAGCTTCTACCCACTTTAGGGGATGTCTGTTATGAACCAAGATGGAGTAACCAGACTTTGAAACCATCATTCCATGCAATATATGTACCCAAATTTGCCTTAGTCTATGAATGTTGGATACATTTATTCAGGCAGGAGGCTTTTAGGACCAAAGCCTGCAGCTTCCATCATTTCCATGTCGGTTCCAGAATTTCTCCTTTATTCATTTGCATGGTCTCCAGTTGGAATGCCCACATGCACTCCTCACACGGATACACTCCTTTCAAGGGAAATAAAATATTGTCAATAATAACTTTCTAGCATTGTCATATAAAAATGAGCAACCTGGCTCTAGAGAAATTCCCAGAAATCCACAAGGATGGTCCCAGCTAACACCCTAAGCAATAGAGGACAGGGGGCCTGATCTTGACTTGCCCTGTAGTCATACTGATGAATATCTTAAATATCACCATAGAACCTTCATCCAGTAACTGATGGAAACAGGCAGAGACTTGCATTAGAGCATGGGAATGAGCTCCCAAAGTTCAGTTGAAGAGTGGGAGGAATGAGAATATGAGCAAAAAGGTCAAGACCAGGATGGGTACACTCTCTTAAACAGTCTACCTGAGCTAATGGGAGCTCACCAGCTCCAGTCAGACTGGGAAGGAACAAGCATAGGACCAAACTAGTCCCACTGAATGTGGTTGACAGCTACCTGGCTGGGACAGACTGAGGGGCCACTGGCAGTGACAGCAGGATTTGCCCTACTACATACACTGGCTTGTTGGGAACTATTTTCTTTGAGTGGATACCTTACTCAGCCTAGACACTGTAGGGAGGGCCTTGGACCTTCCCATAAGCAGTGTGCCTTGCCATCTCTGAGGATTGCATTGGGGGTAGGGTGGAAGAGTACGTGGAGAGAATAGAAGGAGGGGAGAGAGTGGCAACTTGGATTGGTATGTATAATGAAAAAACAATAAAGATAGTTTGGTTTTTTGTAAAAAATAAATAAAAATATTAGACAGATATTAAAAGAAGAAAAATGAACATAGCTAATATAGATTTTAGTTTAAAAGTTTCATTCCATCTTTCTTTCATACTAATGCCTAAGGAGTAATAAACTTCTCTTGAAATGACTTTTCTAAATCTATTTGAAGACTATTTTAAATAATTGGCATTTTGCTTGTTTTAGTGACTTGTGTTATATCAAGTTCCAATCTTCTGCATAGCTTCTGTTGAAATGGCTAAGACAAAGGGAATAAGAAGTTGGCCAGGAAGAAGGTCAAATTTGTTTTTAGTCAGCTCATTTGGAAGGTTTTACCTCTGTGGTTGTTCTAAGATTTAAAACTGAATATTTGTTGCCCGTAAGGACCTTTGATGCATGATCTTATGTGGCTGTAAATGACCTACATGTATGCTTTTAACCCTACTACCTAGCCAAATTCTAAAAGTAAAAAGGGAAATCTTCAAATTAATTTTAATAGAATTTAATTCAATATCTCATTCAGAGCTCAAAGAAAGAAAGCCAGTGAGAAGATTTTGAAGACCCATTTATATGTTAAGAGATTTCTTCTCTGGAGTCTGTTTGTGATTGTAGAGAATAAGGAAGAAAGAGCACAGGCAGGATTTTGCCCTTTCCGGAAAAAGTAAGATTTTTTTTCCAGAGTTCTCCAGTGGACATGGAGAAATCAACCAAACTACTCAGATTGATACTTTTAATAACATTTATTACAACTTCCAATGCCTCCTAGATACTCCTTTTTCACATAATTTTGTACAATAATCTACCTAAATTGACCCACTAATATGACCACAGGTGGTAGATCCCCAATAACATTGTTGCAAAATGTGATTAATATAAATATCTTTAAAGAGCTACTTTATCTTCTAAATTGAGTCCTCATCCACTTTATTCTTTAAAAATATGAATTTGAACTTTCCACATAAGTGAATATGCACCGATATGTATCAATGAAATTGGAACAGTGATGATGTATCTGATATATTTGTATTTGATACTGCTTATCGTGTATATTTAGAGCAGTGATTATCAAGTGTAGTAAGGAGGTCACTAGTTAGTTCCCAGCCACTTAGTCCTGAAATAATCACACAGAAACTATATTATTTAAATCACTGCTTGGCCCATTAGCTCTATTGATTAGCTTCTTATTGACTAACTCTTACATCTTATTTTAAAATATTATTTAACCATTAATATGTTCATCACCATGAGGTCATAGCCTACCAGCAAAGTTTCAGTGTGTCTGTCTCTGGCGACAGTTCTATGACTTCTCTTTGACTCTGCTTTCTTTCTCTCAGCATTCAGTTTAGTTTCCCCCACCTATCTAAGTTCTGCCCTGCTATAGGTCCAAAGAAGTCCTTCATTAACCAATGGTATCCACAGCTTACAGAGGGGGATCCCACATCACTCAAGGGAGTTCATTTTGTGTGACAAGAAACATAAGGACACTTTTCATTGTCACAACTAAATTATGTATATGGCACTATGAGAATCATTTAGGGAGAGCCAGGGATACTGCTAAATAAATATCTTTGAATGCAGAGAATCGCCCCACAACATGACCAGAACATATTCAACAAATCTAAGAAGATCAGCCATGCTAAACTGAGAAAGCTTTCTGTGAAGTTGAAGATGGAGGCATTAAGAAAATGAACAGTACTGGGAAAGCCAGGCAGAAAGAAATTCTCATTGATTTGTCCCTGTGCCTTGCAGACTTTTGTTTTTTAGAGATATGAATGAACTCATAGTCTCATTAGCACTGCCTGATAATGTACAACATCACAATTAGATGATAGTGGACAAATGCAATTATGCATATTAAAAGGATTGATTAATGGTAGAAATTGAGGTAAGACCTTCACAGTTGTACGTGTCTGCTTAAAAGAGAAATGGATATCATTACCTGTCTTTCCACAGCATATGGAGGATATCTGAATGACTTATCTAGGTATAGGAGACTTCAAAAATATAACAAAGAAAAATGCAAGTTAACAGATGAGAATTTTAAATATGTACAGTAATTACTGTGATGACTGATGAGCTGCCTAATAAATGAGTTAAAAACACAAACATCATTGACCTTTTTGAAGAAAGCATGATATTTAAGAAAGAGTAACCTTGGGAAGTAACAATAACAGTTTTCAAATCCTCATTTAAAATTTACTTTTCTCCAAATTAACTGCAAATTTAAATTTTACTTCATCTTCTAAGGCTTGGAAATACATATAATTATGATGAAGCTATCTGCAAATTGGATAAATCTGTGAAAATCTCGTATTTAGAGAAAAATTCAGCTAACTATGAAATGTACTATATATGGTTGGCATAATTGTTGCGTAAATACAATGTCAGATACCACTTATAAATGTATTTTTGTGTCAATAATTCTAGTCTGTACTTTCTGTAGGTGGTTACAGTTCACTTCTTAAATTCTTAATTAAATATGAAAAAGCTCAGTCTTTCTTAACATCTAAATAAAATTCATACTAAAGGTTTTCAGTTTCTATTGAGAAGAATTAAAGCTATGCATAATCAGAGTTCGTGATCATTTTCTGGAAATGCTGACAGGTATCTCTGTCAGTGTAAATTCTCACTTCTGAAATGACTGATTTTGAGACCATTCAAGTTTTCCTATATTTCCATAAAGAAGTTGAGCAGTAATTATTAAGAAACCTCTTTCAGACCTCTGCAAGTGATGGATCAGCCTGACTCTATCTTGGACTATCTATCTTGAAAGTCATCTTACGGAAAAGACAAACTCGGCTCATTCTTGTTTTTGATTAAACCTCTGTTTCTCAAGGATTGGACCATGCCCCACCTGTAACCTTAACTACAAATGCTTCTCTACTGCCTGGAGTAGGAAATGGCAATCATGCCTTTAGTACAAAGCCTCAGTTTCACCCCTGCTTTTGTTCCAAAAGGTTTTTATAACCCCCTCTTTTTATGACTTCTTTATGACCACCTTGCTACCATTTCTTTGTTTCAAGAGGTATTATAACTAACTTGTTTGTTTATGTTTTGTTCCTGTAACTCTGGCTATCTTGCCTGTCAAATCTCTTATTTAGAAACTCCCTATCACTGAACTATAGAAAGTATGTTTTCTTCACTTCCAGTACTAGCCTTTTGAACTTCTCCTTAAGGGGAGGCAGCCCATGTACATGAATAAAAAGCTTGCTCTAATTAATCTGTCCATGAGGACTTGGGTCAGTGATCTTTCTCTTTTCTTCTTTGGGACTACCACAAGCATATTAGAAAATTTTGTACTTTAGTATGGAATTTAGAAGTTTAGGTCCCAGGGACGGTTTAAATTTTATACTTTTTCAAGTTTTTAACCTATACATTCTGTGTTTCTACAGAAATACACAAAGAAAAGGCTGAAAAGCAGGAGAAACCTGAGAAGAAAATGCAGACTAAAGGTATAAGTTGCATTTCATGTGGTACCGCTGCTGCTCCTGTTTCTCCTCCTCATATGCCGTCTGTCTCCTGGTTTTTCTCTTCTTCCTTTTCCCTCTTCTTTGCCTTACTTCCTCCCCTTCTCCTCCTTTTTCTCCCCCATCTTCTTCTCATTCTCCTCCCTTTACTTCTCTTCACTTTTCTTTTGAAGAGGTACACATTTTGTTGATGCATTCATATGGAAGGAGTATTTCATGACTAACGATGTTTACTTTTAAGTTTTTGGTATCATTTTAATTAATTCTTTCTTCACCAATTAAGTTGCAGGTATTGTGTTTGAGTAAGATTCAATGATAGAAATCAAAGCAACTTCAACATTGGTGAAAATCTTTACTTATAACGGTTTTTCTTTAATAAATAGCATTGTAATATTTTACTTACCATTTTTCTTTTAATCATTTTGTATAATGATTCAGAGTTTACAATTTAAACATGAATTTGGCGTACCATCGAATGCTTTCATGATCATAGGTTCAGACACGTAGAATCATTAGATTACATCATTGGAATGCCCTAGCCCCATGTTCTCTTCACAGCCTCAAGGGGTAGACTGTGACAGCAAGGTAATTAATAGTCCTTAAGTCCTTTTTGCCAGTTTGATTCCAGGAACTATGATCATGTGATAGAAGCATCTGAATAAGGGCCAATACTTCCTTGCTAATCTGACAAGTGCTACTTTTTTGTGGGAGATCCATGAAGCCATGATATGTTAAATAAACCTAGAGCAAGCGATGACATTCAACAGCAACAAATTTCTAAACATTACTAAGTTTTTAAAATGGGCAGTTAAACGTAATTTTGGATGCTCCAAGGGGCAAAATATTTCTCATCATTACTATACCTATGTGATACAGAGAAAAATAATAAAATAATTTCCCTGGAATAAAAAGTTAGCTTTGGAAAATCTGGGTATGTTGTCAAATAGAAGAATGGTTCCATTTCATGTGCAGAAATCTGAGTTCAATTACCAAAGCCTTCTTTATGCAAAATTAAACAAAGTAAATGTAGTTATATATTTATTATACTAAAACCTAGCTAATGTAAAAATTAACTTTCACAGGTAGCATAGTTGAAAATATTAAGTTTTCAAATACTAGAAGCCTCTGTTATCTTACAATTGCATTCTTAGCTATGCTGAGTTGTCTGAGTTTATCTAAATTGGGATTTATAAACCATTGTTTATAAATATACTTTATGTCTTAATCTCCCTGTGAAACTGGAGGACAATTACATTAAAGCTACCACAAATCACTCCCTGGTCCACATAAACTTGTAGCAATATCAAAATGCAAAATGCATTTAGTCCAACTTCAAAAGGCCCGAATGTCTATCACAGTCTCAACAATGTGTAAAAGTCCAAAAGAGTTTAAAATCACTTCTGAGATTCATGCAATCTCTTAATTGTAATCCCCTGTAAAATCAAAATCAAAAAGCAGATAACTTACTTCCAAACTATAATGGCACAGGATATACATAACCATTCTAACATGTAGGAAAGAGGGCAGAGTAAAGAAATACTGGACCAAAAGAAGATCAAAACCTGCTGAGCAAACTCCAAACTACATCTTCATGTCTGATGTCAAAGGCTTTTCAGATCTCCAACTCTGTTCAGATTTGTTGACTGAAAACTTGTTTTCCTGAGCTCGTTCCAGATCCTGTTAGCATCTCTTTCGCAGGTATCCTATGCCTCTGCAATCTCTAAGCTCTTGGGGTCTCCAAGGCATGTTATGCTCCAACTTCACAGCGTCATGAAAGGGCCCCTTTAGGCCTCTCATTCAGGGACACTGATGACACATGTCTGGCCTCAGCAGCTTTCCATAGGCAGGGAGACAAACTCAATTCCTAACCTACTTCTATCCTTAACTCTAAAAGCTGTCATGTTCTGCTGCGTGCTTGGTCCAAAACATGACCTCTTCATTTAATTTTCTGTTTAACTGTTACTCTCACTACCTAAATTTGACTATACTTGAACTTGCTCTATAGATCAGATTGACCTCAAACTCAGGAGTCTACCAGACTCTGCCTTGTCGGCCTTCTTGTATTTAGGGGCTAATATTTACTGCATATGTTCATTTTTTGGTTCTTAACTCTTTTGATCTAGAAAATTGGACAATTTCTAGAAATTTTTTTCCAGAAAAATCCTGTTTCTGGGCCAGGATTGATAACTAAACTGGCTACTTCTCTCTGTCTGAACTGAAAGGCAAATTTAACTGGTTCCATTTGATCAAGGTCTCCACAACTTCCTTCTGCAGACTCTATAATAATTTTGTAGCAAGATAGCTGGAGTGAATATGGTGACGTTGATGAAAACATTTGCATTTTGAGCATAGCTCTCAGAATCCTGCTGTCAAAGTCTTTAAGCACTGGGCTGTGGAGTGGGTTTATTAAACCAGCGAGTCTCCTGTAATAAAAGCAGTGAGTTTGGCTGAAGTCTAAAATATATTTTTCAAAGTCTGTGCAGGAGATTAGTCACCTGAATATATTTCTTGAATAGACCAAATGTATCTGAGTAAAGCAAATAATTCGGAGAAAGATGCAGATGATATATATATATATATATATATATATATATAATCTATAAGTAGGCAGGTCTGTAGAAAGATATATCTATCTATCTATCTATAAATAGCTAGTTAGATAAAACATACAATATATATATATATATAGGTAGATGAATGGATAGATAGATGATAGATAAATAGATACATAAATGCATAAATACATAGGTAGATACATAGATAAATGACATATACATACATGCATACATACATAAGTATACTTTTGTGTTTTGATCTGCTTTTTCTCTCCTGTCAGAACATGAGTGGAATATTTCACTTGCTTTCTAGTTTCCATTCTGTAATTAAGATGGGATAGTGCCTAGTTTTTATTCCTCAATAACTTACTGACAATGAGTTTTATAACTAAAATTTTATGAACACTTTTAGACCTGAAGTGATCTCTTAAGTCACATTCCAGCTCAGCTGTGGGTGAATGTGAGGGCTAGTTATGGTTTACTTTGTCATTAACACAACTGAAAGTCTTATAAGAACGCATGTAATACCTTAAGATATGTTACCTATGATCATTATAAACAAATACCTTAGTTTAAAAAAGCTGAGGTGTTTTGTGGAGAAATAAGTTTTGATGGTAATTAAAACTAGAATATACACTATTTCACTTTTTCTTCTGTTTATTTTTTCCTCTTTCTTGTCATTCTGCAGCCTTTTCCTCCCACCCTTTTAGAAGAAAAACAAAAACAAAAGCTTCTTCTGATTCATAGGAAGGGTTTAATAATAAATGATCAGTTTAAGTTTGGAATATTTACTTATCAAAGAAATGCAGAAAAATAAACAATACGTCATGCCAGAAAATACAGATTTCTAACATACACCCATTCAAATAGGTTAAATGATTTATATTAAAGGGGTACATAATCAGTTTCATTTTTTATTAGGCATAGAAAATAAGATAATTTCTATAGTTTTGATGCTAGATGATTTAAATTCATAAGATGTTAACTCTTTTATTTTGCCCATTTTTTATTTTGATACTTTTTATTGGGGGAAGAATAGAATAATTTCATGAGTTAAAGAGTAGTTCTAGTAATGTGTACTGGTTATGGTTTTAAGCATAAGCTCTGATACCCTAGGTAATGCTTGCCTTTAAACTAAATTAAGCATGGTAATATTTTCCCATAAAAGAAATGGAAATTTATTTTGTAATTATAATCAGAGCAATGTATGTTCTTGTGACCTTGTACTGAGTTTGCATAGTGAGTAATGCGGAGTATCATTACATTTGCTTAGAAGAAACACAACCATAGTGTAACTCTCCTTGCTATTACTCAATGTTATTACCTCAAATAGAAGTCATATAAATGGCCTTCTATGAATGCATGGAATGAGTTCACCACAACAGAACAGTTATAGGCTCTGAGCATTAAGATTTAACACAAGTTTGCACAAATAATTCTTTTTCCATATGAGGATGACAGTTTGTATTGAAAAGTTTCATAGGTCAAAATGGTCTTGAAAATGGTCTTTTTTTGTATAAAGCCCAAGATTTAATAATATGTACTTGTCGAGATAAAAAGGATGAATACATTTGCAGATGGAGATGAACAAAGCAGTCTTGGACCTGCAGCTCACAAGTGTTTCAGGTGAAAGGATGTCCATTGTGGAGGCAGGAACAAGAATGAATGTCCACTGTGAAATCGGAGCAAGGAACCCATCAGACGACAAAAACTGACCAGTCTCCTGATGCATAATAAATAAACTGTCTATAGTGTTGAATGCTACTTGCTAGCCATGTGACGACAGGCAGAGAGGGGGTCTGAAATCCATCAGTACCATACCTGCAGTGCCATGTTACCTCCATATGTATGTTTCTTTTCAAAGTGGTGCCTTAGTGTGCATTTGATGCTTTCTCCTTGCTGTAAAAAAAAGTGTGTGACAAAAGCAGCCAAAAGGAAGGAGAGCTTATTTTGACACCTAGTTAGAATCCATAGTCAGTCAAGATGAAAAAGATATGGCAACAGGCTCAACAACATATCAAGACAGAAAATTAACATATAAATCAGTAGCTTTTTCAGATACAAATAATGAATTTGCCATGAAAGAAATTGGACGGGTGGGGGACCTCATTCATATAACTTAAGAAAAAAATGCTTGTAAATTAATTTCACCAAGGAGTTGAAATCCTCTGGAATAAAAATTTCAGGACACTAAAGAAATTGTTGAAGAAAACATGAGATTAAAGTCTTCTCATACTCATGGCAGCACAAATAATATTGTTTAAAAATGCGATTTTCAATGGCAGCCTTTACAGAGCTCAAAGAAAAAAAATCCTAATTTTCATATAAAATCACAAAAGATCATGATTAGTCAAAACAATCCTAACCAGAAATAACAATGCTGGAGACATCTCAGATTAAGCTACAAAGCCATAATGTCAAAACCAATGAGGTGTAGGCACAAAAAATAGTTACATAGACCAATGGACAGAATAGAATACCCAGAAATAAATCCATAAAGTTACAACCACCTAATTCACCAATGATGTATAAAAGTGTACACCATTTCTTCAGAAAAAGATGCTAGATGAACTGTATTACAATTTGTGAAGCTATTTTCTAGATGATATCAGAGAAGATTGAGGACTCTTAAAAATCAATATTGAGTAGTATTCAGTAGTTCTGAAGTCAAAAAAATCTTAAAGGTTTAGTTAAGTTTATTGTCATCTGTCAGTTGGAGAATTTAGTAGCCTATAAAGAGCTACACTTTCATAGTTTTGAGCCAAAACTTTTGAGGAAGAACTCGGAGAAAAGGTCCTCAGAGAATGCTGTAGCTACAAAGACCTAGAAGTTCAGACATTCTGTGATCTCAGAAACCCTCAGAAAACATGGACGTCTTTCTGGTGGCTGCTGCGATAAAAAACAGAAGTACACAGAACTACTTGGGGAGTGCTGGTGAGGAGTCATGCAGGAAGGAGCAATTGCTTCAGAGTTGAGCAAGGTTTAATGTTGTGATGGGGAAAGGTCAGTCTTGACAAGAGCAGTCACGGCGGGCTATGCTAACTCAGATGCCAAGCCACAGAGCCACTCCAACTGGTGGATTCCATTTGCTCTTAATTATGAGCCTACCAAAGGATCTTTTGTTTCATGTAAATAAGAGTGGCAAACCACATAAGCTCTAACAGGTGCAAAAGCTTGTTTTGCCCTGGGTTAAAAGTACCTTCACCAAGATATGGCTTGCCAGTCTATGTTGGTGGGAAGAGGCATCTCTTGTTTTCCATATGGGTGAGAGGTTGGTTCTTAGCAGAACTGTATCAGCAAAGTTAGATACTGCTGTTTTTGTAGCATAATATTTTTATTTCAAAGGGATTATTAAACCAGTTACTGACTGTTGCATTGCTGTATCTAAAGTCATTTCAATGCTTGGCATTTGAGCACACTCTTGCCAAAGTTTGAAGCTTCAGTCCAAACAGCTTTGGTGGCTTTCTGCCATTTGAACAGCTCCCTAGAGACCATGAGTCCAGCTGTTTCAGTAAACTGTATTGTGGAGCTAATTCTGAAGGGGGATAATGAAATTCCAGTATATACCACTGTGTCAGTAAATCAAAAATTTTGATTGAAGGAACCAGCTTTTTCCCCTGGGTAACGAGAATGAGGAGTTAATATGCTAATTTGAGTCTGAATTCAGCCCCTTTGCTCCTCTGATTTTGTATTAATTTGCCCGTTTATGCCTATGCACATGTCAATCTGGAAATCTGCTCGTGGAATGGACAGCCAGCTGTCTGAGGTGCAGAGGCAGAGCCACAGATTAGGTGTTCCCTAGGGGCCCTTTTTAGTCAGGGCTCTGAACACACAGCTTATCTCTCGTAAACTTGGTTCCCCCTAGAAAAACTTTAAAAGAGGCTTTGTTTTTGCCAAGAATTTCTTTTTGGATGTCAGTTTAATTAACGATGATCCAAAGAAAGAAAAATGAGGTTTTTATTTTTATTTTTTATTTATTTATTTATTTATTTTTTGGCGTGTGTTCTCTGTAAGTTCTGATTTCCTACCCTTATTTTGTGAGATTCATTTTAATTGAAACTAGTTTCTCAGAAGCAACTAAAACAACCATTAAGTGTGAAGGGGAAAAAATTGTAGTGCCTGGACATTCCAAAGTAAATTCCCTCTTCCTGTTTCTAGGTTATATTTAAGAAATTTTAATCAGCTACAAAAGTTTCCAGAGATTGAAAGCAAACAGAGCTTGAAAGCAAAAAAAGATATTAGTGTCTTATAAAATATTGAAATTTCATATATTTCAAAATATTATTAGCAGGGTATCATATGACAGATATTGTTTTTTAACCAATTAATTAATTTATTTATTTATTAAAAATTTACACCTCCTCCCCGCCTTCCTTTTCCCTCCCCCTTCCCACCTCTCCCACCCTCTCTAGTTCTAAGAGCAGTCAGGGTTCCCTGCCCCATGGGAAGTCCAAGGTCCTCCCCCCTCCATCCATGTCTATAAAGGTGAGTATCCAAACAAACCTGGCTCCCACAAAGTAAGTCCATGCAGTAGAATCAAAACCCAGTGCCATTGTCCTTGGCTTCTCAGTCAGCTTTCATTGCCAGCCACATTCAGAGTGTCCATTTTAATCATATGCTCCATCACTCCCAGTCCAGCTGGCCTTGGTGAGTTCCCATTAGATCAGTCCCACTGTCTCAGTAGGTGGACGCACCCCTCATGATCATGACTTCCTTGTTCATGTTCTCCCTCCTTCTGCTCCTCATTTGGGCCTTGGGAGCTAAGTCCAGTGCTCCAATGTGGGTCTCTGTCTCTATCTCCATCCATCACCAGATGAAGGTTCTATGGTGATATGCAAGATATTCATCAGTGTGGCTATGGGACAAGGCCTGTTCAGGCACCCTCTTCTCTGCTGCCCAAGGAACAATCTGGGGACCTCTCCTTGGACCTGGGTATTGTTTTTAACTGAGTCTACAGAGGTGTAATGTGCCTTTGTAATCTTTCCTTAAAAGATTTCATCTGCTAAGCAGTCACATATAAACATGGCACCATTATTGCTTATGGATATATATTGATAGATAGTGTAATTGCTCTCCTAAATAAGTATAGATAGGATAGAAATTTACAGAGGAAACCCTTGAACCAAGCCTGAAGAGCTTTTCATGGATCTGGGAATGGAAAACGAGTACATGTGGTTTGGGGAAAACAAGATGGAAGATACAAAAAAGAGTCACATAGGGGACACTGGTATCCTGTAACACTACAGAACCTCTATTAAAACTGAATGTAAAGTTTAAGGTAAATTTCTGACAGATAAAAATGGATACTAATCAAATGTCAAATCAATGAGATATTTCTAAGTATGCAATAGTTCCTACTTGTGACAGATACCGTGCTAAGATCTGTTACCCACACATGCTTTGTTGAAAAAAGTTTCACAGCCTCAGAAAAGATATTAATGTATTAAAAGGTGCAATAATGTCATGCCCACAACAGATACTGCTCAGATATTCTGAAATGGTCTTTTCCTTCTTGTCCTTACACTCTCTGCCTATGTTAATTTCCTAGAGGTTTTCACATCCGTCAATGTCACATCTACGAAGGGGCCTTCTCCAAATATGTAGCTGAGATTAGGTCCCCATTATCCACACTGACATGCCATCCTGTTCATTTTCTCTGCAGCAATTACATTAAATGCAATTAACTACCTCTGCAATTATTTGTTTAGCATTCATCATCCATTTGCATGTTGACATCCCATTGAAAGGGAAGGAATTTGTCTTGCCAAAGATAATCTTCAGCTTTTGACAAATGTTCTCTGTACATTCCTGTGTAAATACAGGGTAGGTAGGGAATAAAAGAGCAACAAAAATCTTAGGTTGAAGAAGCTTAAAGAATGAATAAAGTTAAGAAATGCAAGAGAAAGAATGATGTAGAGAGAATAAAGTATGATTCAATTTCTGTATTTTTAGCTTGCTAATTAATAAACACTATGAATAAATAATAAGGTAGGGTTTGAATCATCTTGGAATAAACTGGATCACAACTAGCTAAATTAAGTTTTGTTTCCTTTGGAAAGATGTGATATCATTACAATCTCATTTTGTTTATTTTAAAAACATTTAGCATGGACTCTTTCTATAATGTATTAACACATGAAGTTTATACTCTTCAAGTACTTTGTTTTAGGTTCAGGAGACTATACACTTTCATTTTGTCTTGATACTTCTGTCATTCATCCAATATCAAAAACAGAGTTCTTTAACATATAGCATTTGTGTGTGTGTAAGTGTGTGTGTGTGTGTGTGTGTGAGTGTGTGTGTGTGTGTGTGTGTGTGTGAGAGAGAGAGAGAGAGAGATCTTCCAATTTATTAAGTTAAAAATTGAAAAAGTTAAGTCCATTCTTTGTTGTCAGATCTATTTCTGAACTGCTTATGCTTGGATGTGCAATAAAAGTATGGATCAAAAAATCAAATCTATAATTATTTTTGAAGTTTAATCTAAGTATATAAACCTTTATGACAGCTAAAAGGTGATTCCTACACATACTTTTTAAACTAATATGTCATGGAACTATCTCTAAATTCATTCCACTGATTTAAATTGAAGGTATTTTCTGCTTCTTTCCAGTTTCACCCAAAGAAAAGGAAAAAGGAAAAGAAAAAATGAAAGACAGAGAAAAACCCGAGAAGAAAGGTATATAGCTGTTCTTTTTACAGCCTTAACATTTAAGATTTTTCCTTTGGCATTTCTCTAATTTGCATTTAGACCTTAGAGAATATTTCTTTTTCTAATATTTTTATTACATTTATTTTCATAGACTAGAACCCCTAAAGTGGAATTTCTGGACTAGGGATAATAAAGTATGTTAGTCTTAGGAAATACTCCAGTCTTTCTTTGCATAATTGTGAGCTTGTTAGAGAATATTACCTAAGAGCATACTGGTCAGCTCTACAGAGGAAAGTTAATTCTTGTTAGTTTGATTCAGTTGCCTATTATATTGCCATATTTGTTTGTTATTGCTTATTCATTGAGAATGGATAGGTAAGCCAACTTTCTCTGAATCATGAACATGCCCCGTGGAAACCACCCCACACTGCTCAGAGCTCACATTTTCCATTCCATCTTACCCCATGCACTGACACCGCCACTTGTGTGAAGTTCTAAAAGCTTCGTTAACAATATGTACACAACATTTATAAAATTAATATGTGATATATATATGTATATATATACATAATGCTGTACAATCATCTTAGTAGTTTATATTGTTGTTCCCCTATAAAATCTAGCATGTCTTCTATTCTGACTTTCCAAAATAAAAAATACATCCTAAAAAATTCTCCACACCTGCACATATTTTCTTCATTCTGTTTACAAAGCTTTATTGTATTGAAAAGAGCCTGTCTTATGTCATATACCTTAGTTTATTTTTATTTGTAGAATTCACCTTAATATAATTTTAGTATTATAGATTTCTTCCTGTGTGACAGTTCATATTTCTTGCCCATTCTTCCCCTAGTGTGTGTGTGTGTGTGTGTGTACATTCATTTTTCTATAGTATTTCTACTTTGGGAGTTTCTTTAGGACCTTTATTTGAGATTAATTTTGTAGTAATAGTTTCCTTAAGGTTTTTTTTTTAATGTTTCATGGTTTACATTTTCGTTAGATCCACCCCCCTCTGCACCATCGCTTTGTGTGAAGTAAGATTACGGTGTGACTTTTGCTATTGTTTGACTGCGTCACATTTGTATCTGCAGTATCAGAGCCGCACAACTCTTGTGGTTGGTGAAACACTGCAGCTTAGATAGAAATATGGAGAATGGATGTGATATGAACCGGAGCAGAAGAGACATGTTTCAATATTACTTATTACATATTCACACTTGAATATTAGAATTGAATAGTTACTCCTTTATTAATATTTACTTAGCTGCAATTCCCTTGAATTTTAAAACACCTACCTTCTTTGTCTGTCTCAGTTATGTTTGTTCATTTCTTATCTGCTGGTGAGATATCGAATTATGAACATAAAGTTCTATATCCTGATAGAAGTCAAATACCTTTGTGTTTCTTATTAATTTTCATGGTTCAATAGTGCTAAATGTTTTCTTTAAATAATTAAAATTTCCCCTTAATTTATAAATGTAGAAAATTCACTAAAATTGAAAAATCAGAGATAAAATGCCGTCTGCAAGTGTTCCTCTGTTTCCTATATGCCAGTTAAAGATGTTTATATTTTAGGATACATTATATGGAAATGTTGGCATCTTCCATGAATGAACTGTTTATTTGAAATATAAGACTGTGCTGCAAATGCTATTGGACTTCTTGGGTTATCTTAACCACAATGCTTACACCTTTGGTTTTCTTAGTACATACAGAACAAAGACATGTTGTATAAATTAATATTGATGAATTACTTTACTAAATAAAAAAGGGAAGATATATTTCAGGTGTCATATAAGACATTATTAAATTAAAATCTTTATTATTTTAAATTATCTTATATAGTACCATTGATTCTCAGAGACAACTATTACTCATTAGGGATATGATTGACTTGTGAAAATGACTTTGATGTATAGCAATTGGTAAGAAGGCACTAGGAAGGTTCAGCATCTTTGCAATGTTTAAAGCAACCCCTTATATTGGGAACGGCTCTTTCCCAAGTGCCAGTTTTACTCCTGTTGAGGAACACTGGTCAATCAGTCTTCAGTCATGCTGATATCTCTTGTTATTAATGCTAAAACTAATTATTTTCACAATGTGTATATTGTATTTGTTATATATTTGTTCTTTTGTGGGGGTTCTTTCCTGAAAACATTATATACTTTGAATAGAAATATGTGAAAGAAAGATATCAGATCTAGCTTTCAAATTACTATTTGTTTGTATTGACCAGGGTTTCACTATTAGGCCTGGCTGTTCTGGAACCTACAGTGTAGACCAGGCTAGCCTTAAACTCACTGAGTTCTGCCTACCTTTGGCTCCTGAGCACTTATTAATAGAGTTTTTCACTATAATTAGCTACTTTCCTATTCATAAAGTCAAATTTTATAATGTAAGGTCTGTGGCTATTACCCACCGGTTACTATATTCCTAAGACCTAGGAACATAGTAATCAGCTATTCTATGATTTGGATTCCTATAAAACTGTAGTCAGAAGAAAATTGACTTTGAAATCTATTAAAAGTATAAAAAATTTGTAATTTTCTAATGTTAATTTTCTGTTTAAGCAACCCACAAAGAGAAACCTGAGAAAAAAGAAAAAGCAGAGAAAAAGACAATGACAAAAGGTAACTTTTACCTCTATACCTTCATTCTTCAAGTCTTTTGACAATGAGAGTGTACAATTTGACTGAACCATGAATGTTTGTAGTCCTTTTCCAATTCATTTAAATATAGTGATTTAAAATTGAATGTCTAAAGAATAATAAAATCAAGTACTCCAAAAGCATAAAAGGAAAATAATATGTTCTCACATGTGATTGGCAGAATTTTGGTCTCTATGACTTGTATCCCATGGTATCATCCTCATTACACTTTTTCAGAGGTAGTCAAGTTTCATCTAAAACTAGAAAATGACCCAATGTAGCCACCTGCACCCAATAAACAGCTGCAATGTATTTAGAAATAGAGAATTTTCACAGAATGCAAAGAGAGTTTTGAAGTGAGGTCTTAGCCTCCTTGGCTACCATGAAAATTATGGGGGATACAGAAGAACCATAAACAACAGCAGAAAGCAAACTGCCTTCACACTGAATAAACATGGAAGCCAGTTTTCCCTATAGAAACTTCCCTAAAGAGCACAGAGGATTGTTGACTTCATTTTGGACTTGTGAATTCTGTGAGGAAACAACAAACACAAAAAGCACTGTGATAATATACTTCAAGTCCAAAAAAAAATCCTAATTTTGGAAGATTAATTGAGTCGTATTTTTCTTTACCCTAAGATGGGCTATCAAATGTTTTAAGTGTTTAAAAATATGCATGTTAACTTATAATGCAATTGCATCTCTTCAATGTAAATGTTTTCCTCATAGTTTAAAATGTGTTTGCTATAAATAATATACAGGATCAATCTTATTCCAGCACCATCAAGTAACTATTTATGTATAGAAAATAATGTATGTCTATCAAATAAATGTTTATATTATTTAAGAATAATTGAATTTCCTGAGTATATTCTAAAGTCAAAGTTTGTGATAATTTATTGTTTTTTTCAATAGGATACAGACATATCTTTTACACATATGATTTACTACTGATGCTTCCCATTTACAAGTTAATCTTGACAGATATATGTAGACAAATCATATAAATTTTACACATATATAATATGCTCACATGTGTCTTCATTTTATTTAATCTATCTATCATCTATCTATCTATCTATCTATCTATCTATCTATCTATCTATCTATC